CTCTGAAGTGTAAATCGGGGTATTAAGTTGATGGTATCCATTAAATGTTAACGCGTTAGAAAGAAGAAAACTAATATAGAGGGGTCTGGGTCTTTATAATATGTTAAATATTTTTGTTTTCTATTTGTTTCTTTATTTAATTTTGCTTTTGAATAATATGTTAAATATCTTCGACACAAATGATTTGGTTTGATATTTGAAAAATCCGAACCAACCCGGCCATGTACACCCCTACATATACATGTTCTTCTCGTTTCTTCCATCCTGAAAATTCATATGGACAAACAGAGGGCAACTTGGATCTCAACAGCCTTGCTAAGAAGAAGCACGACAATTTTTTCTATGATCGAAAATACTATAAACACAATAATTAACAATTTAATATATTTTAAAATCATATAAAAATATAGTTTACTCTCCAAATTCCATCTTTGCCACAAAAATTGAGACAGAGATTATCACATATTATTTGAAAATAATGTACAAAATATTATAAATCATAATATTTAACAACTTCAAAAAGTATATAAATTTTTTGATTGGCTCTCTAAGCATAAATTGGGGTCCGAATGAGTACTCTCTCTGTCCCTTTTCACTAGTTAAATTTTGACTTTTTACTTGCCCTTTTTTTGACAAATCAAGAAAAGACAATATTTTTTTACCTATTATATCCTCAATTTATTTTAGAGAATTAATATTTTTTGAAAAAAAGTAGAACCTCTTTATCTGAGTATGCTATGTGGTTGCAGCACAGTCTGAACTTCCACATCAGAAAAGATTTACTTTGGTTTACAATAACTATATTTTTTTGGGGATAAACAATGGAAGCCAACACAAGTAGAATGGTTACTTTGAATGGTGTTAATTATGCCATTTGGAAGGGGAAAATGAAAGATCTACTTTATGTCAAGAATTTTTATCAACCAGTCTTTACCACTGTAAAGCCTAATAATAAAACAGATGAAGAATGGAATCTGTTGCACAGACAGGTTTGTGGATTCATTAGTCAATGGGTTGACGATAATGTGTTGAACCATATTTCTGGGGAGACACATGCTCGAACCCTATGGGAGCATCTTGAAAGTTTGTATGCTCGGAAGACTGGCAACAACAAAATGTTCTTAATAAAGCAGATGCTGAGTTTAAAGTATCATGATGGTTCTCCGATGACAGACCATCTGAATAATTTTCAGGGGATCATGAACCAGTTATCTGCTATGGGCATTAAATTTGATGAAGAAATTCAAGGCTTGCTTCTACTTGGTTCCCTACCAGACTCTTGGAAAACATTTAGAACTTCATTGTCAAATTTTGCTTCGGATGGTGTGATCTCAATGGATTCTGCCAAGAGTAGTGTCTTGAACGAAGAGATGAGAAGAAAAACTCAATGTTCTTCTTCGTCGGATGTCCTGAATAACTGGCTCCAAGGGGGGAGAAACAAAACTCATGGTTCTCAGAATAGAGAACAAAATAGGAGCAAATCCAGAGGCAAACTTAAGGATATTGAGTGCTATCATTGTGGCATGAAAGGGCACACAAAGAAGTTCTGCAGGAAGTTTAAAAGGGAAAACAAAAACAAAGAGGAAACTAAAGAAGATAGCAATGAAAATTGCCTAGCCACCGTCACCACCGAAGATCTTGTTACCGTCCTTGATGCGGATATGATAAATATTGCTTGTGATGAGTCAAACTGGGTTGTGGACACTGGTGCCGCATCTCACGTGACATCAAGGATGGATTTTTTCTCTTCCTATAGTCCTGGTGATTTTGGAACCTTGAGTATGGGTAATGAGACTGTTTCTAAGGTGATTGGTATTGGTACAGTTTGTTTGGAAACTAGTGTTGGAACAAAACTAGTTTTGAACAATGTGAAACATGCACCTGATGTTCGTTTGCACCTAATTTTGTTGGTATTTTGGATGATGAAGGATATGTTAGTACCAACGGTGATGGAAAATGGAAACTCATTAAGGGTTCCTTGGTTGTGGCTCGTGGTAACAAACGTCGTGGTCTATACTAGACTACGGCTTCTTCTTGTGTCGATATGGTAAATGCGGTTGAGAGCAATGACTCTTCAACATTATGGCACAAGAGGCTTAGCCACATCAGCGAAAAAGGACTTAATGTTCTAGCCAAGAAGAAATTATTTTCAAATTTCAAAAGTGCTAAATTAGAAAGGTGTGAGCACTGCTTGGCTGGTAAACAAAATAGAGTTTCCTTTAAGTCCTACCCCCCTTCAAGAAAGACAGAGTTGTTTGAATTGGTGCACTCTGATTTATGCAGTCCAATGAAGACAAAGACATTGGGTGGTGCACTTTACTTTGTCACTTTTATTGATAACTGCTCGAGAAAACTTTGGGTCTATGTCTTGAAGACTAAAGACCAAGTGTTAGGTGTTTTCAAGCAGTTTCAGGCTTCAGTTGAAAGAGAAACTGGAAAGAAATTGAAATGTATTCGTACTGATAATGGTGGTGAATATTGTGGACCCATTTGACGAATACTGCAAGCATCAAGGCATTAGACACCAGAAGACTCCTTCGAAGACTCCTCAGCTAAATGGTTTGGCTGAGAGGATGAACAAGACCTTGATGGAAAGAGTTAGATGTTTGCTTTCTGAAGCAAAGTTGTCGAGCTCATTTTGGGGTGAGGCTTTATTGACCGCTGCACATGTTATTAATCTATCTCCTGCTGTTTCTTTGCAAAGTGATGTACCAAATAATGTTTGGTATGGAAAGGATGTCTGCTATGACCATTTAAGAGTATTTGGTTGCAAAGCTTTTGTACATGTGCCGAAAGATGAGAGGTCAAAGTTAGATGCCAAGACTTGGCAATGCATTTTCATTGGATATGGCCTTGATGAATTTGGTTACAGGCTATACGATCCAATTGAGAAGAAACTCGTAAGAAGCCGTGATATTATTTTCATGGAGAATCAAACAATTGAAGATATTGACAAAGCGGAGATGCTAGAATCTTCAAGTTTTGATGGTATAGTTCATCTAGATAAAGTTCCTCACACAAGTATGCATGATGTTGTTGGACTTGATGATCATGGTGACGTCCATAATCATGTATCGAATCAACATGTTGATGTTGATAATAACAATGATATTGTTATTGATGATCCTCCTGCTCATGAAGTTGTGAACGAATCAAATATTCCATTTAGGAGGTCCACAAGACAGCGGGTTCCTTCATCTCGTTATTCACCCAATGAGTATGTGTTACTCACTGATGGGGGAGAACCTAAATGTTATGAGGAGGCCATGAAAGTTGAACAAGAACTCCATGTACCATGCAAGAACAAAACACATCGGCATTAGATATCATTGGATTCGTGAGGAAGTGGTGAGTGAATCATTCCACGTCAAAAAGATCCACACAAGTGAAAATTCTGCAGATATGCTGACCAAGACTATACCGAAAGACAAGTTCGAGTTATGCAAAGAACTTGTGGGTATGAGTTCTCTCTAAAGAAGATGAAGATACCTCCTTCTGGTAAATGGGACTAGAGGGGGAGATTTGTGGAGTCCATCCCATATTTTTTGGTCAACTTTTGCTACTCAATTGCTACAAGTAATTGTTAGAAAGGAATAGTGATAAGAGTTGAAAATAAAAGATTTGGTGGTTGGCAAATTGGTAAGATTTGCAACCTACCTTTGAAATTTGTTACATTTGTCTATGTCATTAGTGACATAGACATGGTTTTCTCCTTCTATAAATAGAGCATTCTTGCTCATTTGTAGAACACACCAAGTTAGAGAGAAAAACCATTTTGAGAGTAAAGTGAGGTATTCCATAGACTATACAAGAAAAATAGTTTGTGAAGAAAATAGAGTGTGAGTAATTTTTAGTAAGGTGGAAATCAAAAGAGTGTTATTCATTTTGAGTGTGTAGTAGTCACTTTGAGTATTGTATTCGTGACTACACGGTGTAAAATTCCTTACTATAGTGATATCAGTTGCTCCTCTTCGCCCGTGGTTTTTCCCTTATTTAAAAGGGTTTCCACGTAAAATTCTTGGTGTCACTATTTTCCCATGGCAGAATGGTCTGGGAGACCCTCGTACTTGTCTCATTTTGTCACCTGAGCCCTTCTAATCTAGACTTTGCCAACTAAACCCTCGAACCCACTGAAATCCAACATTTTAAACCCTTTTTTTGACCTGTCATCCCATGTGGCAAAAGTAGTTCAAGTGCGTGAATTACACCCACTTTAGGAGCGTGAGATGCTTTTAAAAAGCCAATAACGGTCATTTTTGGCCATCTTCCCCAAATTCCCCTAATTTCTTCTTCAAATATCCAAAATGTCTTCTCTTTCTCACTCGTTTATCTCTCTCCAAAATTCTTCACTCCAAATTTCTTCTTCTTCTCCATAATTGATCAGGCCTTTTTTGTCTATATTTTATTTTTCTCACCTTTTTCTTACTTGTTAATTTTTTTGTTCTTCACAATGACTGTTTGTTTTTGCTATTGTGGGCTTCATGCTGAACTTAAGATGTCAAGAACATCAACAAATCCAGGAAGAATGTTTTGGGGCTGTCAAAAATACACAAATGGTAATGGATGTGGATTTTTTCGATGGGCTGATATGGCTGATCCTACCTACCAAGAACAACACTACATGAAGAATCAATCAACAAATGTTGATCATGGAAGGCATAGGCATGGAAGGCAGGGAAGGCATGGAAAGCATAGAAGGCATGGAAGACAGGGGAGATCGAGCATTAGTATTGATATCAGTGTTGTTGTGATTGTTGTCATTTGGTTTCTATCTTTTGTATTTAAGATGTATTGATGATTTGTTCATTTGAGTACTATGATAATGTATGAAAATATCCAGATTAAGACTTATAATTATCATAGCAAATTCATAAGCAAAAATAACTTGTTTGTCATAGCAAGCTAACACAACAGTTGAAAATTAAGTTAATAGTGAAAAGTATCATAGACAATGTCATTGAGAATTTAGCTAGGCAAAACATGAGTCTTTACTATGAAATTTATGTATCTTGAGTGCTTGGTGTGGACTGAGTGGCTCGCTTGTAACTTTGTTCTTGTAGCTGCCTTTGAGTAACTGCAGCTCCACCCTTCCACCTTAGTCCATTGGGTTTGTAACCAAGATCGATATTGGTAGGCACTGAACTCTTCAATGGTGCACAATGTAACACTTTATCAGTAGTTGCAGACTGTTAAAAGGCAATTATGATTTAGTTAGAGAGATTCTATAGAATCAAATTAAAGGTCCTTAAATGATAATACTTACCCTTTCAATCACACTACCATTTGCTCCAAATAGCACACCAAAACCAGCTGTTCTTGGCTTCTCTGTTCTTGGCCTCTTATATCCGGGATTTGCACCACCTCTTTTAACTTTGCTACTCTTATTTGAGCCACTAGCACTAGTAGTTGACTGTTGAGTACTAAATTGACTTGTTGGTTGAGCAACACTTGCAAAATTTAAAGAAATATTTGCAGCACGTCCACCAGTAGTTGTTGCAGCAGTAGTTGCACCTCCAGAAGCTGCTGAAGTAGTGGTTGGTCTTTTAGTAGTTGCACCACCACTTCCACCAGTAGTTACACCTATAGAAGCTGCTGAAGTAGTTGCACCACCATTTCCACCAGTAGTTGCACCTCCAGAAGTTGCTGAAGTAGTGGTTGGTCTTTTAGTAGTTGCACCACCAGTAGCCCCACCAGTTACGCCTGTAGAAGCAGCTGAAGTAGTTGCACCACCACTTCCACCTGTAGCAGTTCTTGCAGTTCCAGTAGTATAGCCATTTTTCTACATACAAAAATTTTCCAAACTGAATTAAGAAGTATTGATAAAATAAATTTCATTAACAAAGTTGAAGAAGTTAAAAGCAAAACTTACAGCAATTGGACATCTTTTCTTGTTATGTCCAAAATTCCTGCACAAAAGCATTTCATTTTTCTCCCCTTCCTTGTAGCCTTTCCAAACTTCTTCTTACTAGGCTCATCACTATCTTCATACCTTTTTTTCCTTGGTCTTCCTGGCATATGAGTGATTTCAAGTGGCTCAATGGATGGCCTTGTGCTCTTGGGCCACATCTTCATGTTTGTCATAGGTTGAATGAACCTACTGTAGGCCTTCAAATATGTTTCCTTCTTATACCAGTGATCAACAAATGACTCAATATCTAGATCCTTGTAATGCATTGCAGTAATTACATGTGCACAAGGAATCCCCTTCAACAAGGAATCCCCTTCAGTTGCCATGACCTACAACTGCACACTTTCTTTTTGAGATTAACAACATGTTTATATGGTGGATGCTGAATCTCATAGCCATTATCTCCATTAAATTTAACTTCACATATGGCTGCATGTTCAGCATTGTCAGTAAGAATTTGCATAGCCATAGGTGACACATCAGTTATCCATTTTTCAGAAAACTCCCTCATTTGAGTCATTCTTTCCATGACTTTGACTCTAATTTCATCTAACAATGTGATGATTGATTTGAATCTAGCTGCCAAGATCCAACTATTAAATGTCTCACACATATTATTCTCAACTATGTCACACTTGCTATGGTCCTTGAATAATGCCCTACACCATGCATTTTTGTTGTACTTTAACAAAGCTTCCACAATACCTTCTCCCAACAGACTCATTTCATCAAGTTTTGATTGTAAATGAACTTCAAATGGAGCCCTGGCAACCTGCCAAAACTTCTTCCTCCTTTCTTCACCACTCCATACCTTCTTCCAGTTGGCCCATATATGTCTAGCACACCATCTAATCTCAGCATTTGGTAATAAATCAACAAGTGCTAGGTTAAGACCCTATCAAAGAAAAAAGGCATGCCAAGGAAAAACAATAGGAACATAAGTGTAACATAGAAATTGCTATAGCAAAGTAAAACAAATACTACAAAGTGTTCTCATACCTTCTGCATATCAGACATAACTGTCAGTCCTTCACCTTCAGTTTGTGTCAGTTCCAAATCATGTTTGATGCACTTGATAAACCAAGACCATGTGTCCTTGGATTCTTTATTAACTACTGCCCATGCTACAGGGTACATCTGATTATTTCCATCCTTGGAAATGCAAGACAACAGTTCACCTCTACATACACCTTTCAGAAATGCACCATCAAAACCAATTATCCTTCTACACCCCTCCATCCAACCACTTTTTAATGCTCCAAGACAAATATAAATCCCTTGGAATACCTCTTTTCCAGGAATTGTATTCTTGGATGTCCTAACAACCACAGTAGTTCCTGGATTTGTAGACTTCAACTCCTCAGCATAGTCATACAATCTAGCAAATTCCTCTATGAAATCACCCATATGCTCATTCATGACTTTCATTTTTGCTCTTCTACAACTTGTTTTACTAACATATAATCCATAATCCTTTTGTACCAAGCCTTGAATCTGATGGAGTCTGATGCTAGGCTCACTCATGATTCTGTCTTTGTAAGTCTTACATATCCAAAAATAAAAAAAATTGACAGTTGGGTCAAAATAGACCTTTGTACTTGAATTTCTAGCTGGTGGATCTACAACCTCATCAGAATCAACAGGATCCCCTTCATCCTCACTAATATCACTGCCAGGATCTGAGCTATCAAAATACAGGTCATCCCCACCCAATTTTCCTTCATATCTTCCCCTCTTATTCTTATAAATATCTTCAAAACCAGCATCTATACCTACAGGACCAGAAGGTATCTCATCTACATTTATTCTAGCAGCCTTCTCTTTATTAACTTGTTCTTGAATGTTAGACTTCCTAGCTTCAACAAACTCAGAATCCAAGTCACTTAAGTCATCAATGTTCTCATCAACATCATAAAGTGACTCAGAAACAGATTGTTTAGCATCTACATCTACATCAGATTCATCAGATGTATGAAGGTGGTAGGAAGAAAAGTCATTACCTTGACCTTGACATTCATCTTCATCTAAGTCCTCTAAAGAAACCTCAGGAGCTGCAGCCTCCTTATTCTTTCCCTTGTCTACACTAGGTTGCTAATCTTCTTTTATATTTGTATCATTTTTATCAGATGATTGAGGGGAAGACACATCAGCCCTAACATTTATAACAGTAGGTGGGGGGGCTTACCTTTTTTGGGAGTAAGCAATTGGGCAATTTGCACATCCCTACTCTATTCGAATAGGGCGAAACGTCACGGTGACTCAAAAAATAAACAATTGATTCAATTTTAAAAGAATTTTAAGAATAAACAAATTTTAAATGAATCGCCACCTAATTTTTGGAAAAAATAGGAAACCATTTAAGTGATCTACAAAACATAAATATTCTAGGTAAGGGGTTCAAGTTATTTCGAAGGAAAGGTGTTAGGCATCCTTCGAAATCCACAATTGTGGGTCCCGACTGAATTCATTTTTTCAAATTGAGGAGGATGTAAAAATATTATACAAATATAACAAACATGCAATATACACAAGTAATAAAGTAAACAAGTAATATGAGAAACAACCTAATATTCGACTATCGTCAACAATATACATAATAATGAATATAACATTCGAACTTTATTCGAATGACTTCGATGAGAAGTGACTTCGGGGTACCTGTAAAGATAATTAGTAAAAGTGTTAGTACTAAATTAATATGACTGAAAGTAAATGAATTAAACAATAACTTAAAAATAAACATCCGTCTTATTAACATGAGAGGCCTTAGAAATCAACGGTAATTTCTTCATCGGCCAATTTTAACAAATAGTACATATAAACTTAAACTAAATTTTCGTCTTTTACAATGTGGAGGCCTCCAAAACCGACGGAGAGATTTTCTCATTGGCCATTTTAACATATGAAAATATAACAAAAAGAATAAAAATAACAACATAATATTCTAAATCAGTAACCATAAACCAATACAAAATAATAATAACCAACTAAAATTAATCAAAAGAAATTAGACTAACGATTAAATCATTTCAAAATGCAAATAATTGCAATATCCAATAAAATACGCAGTATCAAACCAACAGAAATGACGAAACAAGTAAAGTATTAAAGAATAACAAAGAAAAATTAATTAAACTAACACAAAATGACACAAAGTAATGAAAACTTAAATAACTAACACCAACTATAACGTTACCAACAAACTCATATCAATAACACACATAAAACAAAGTTACTGAAAAGTTTAACACACAAAATTACTTAAACTTAATAAATAAATAAAAAAAACATGTCAAACCAAGTCAAAAGAGTAATGAGTACTGTTAGTATCTAATTCAAATTAATTAATGAGAAAAAGTATTTAAAAATGCAATGGAAAATATATAAACACAATCTCGAAAACCATATATTAATAATAGAAAATAAACAGATAATTAAAACATTAATAAATGACTAAAATAAAATAAAAGTAAGGGAAGCAAAGCTTGCCATGGTTGTTCGGTTCTCTGGCAACGTATTCTGCTCGCCGGAGTTTGGTGGTGCAAGGTCAGGACTGGCTAAGATCTGGTTCCAAAGTGTCGGAGCTTCCCACGAGTTCACCGGAGCTCAAAGTCGCAGCGAGACAAAGCTTTGACTTGTCGGAGTATCTGCAAAATAAACAAAAAAAAAAAAAAAAAAAAAGGGAAAGGGGAAGGGACTGGCAGCACTGGTTCGTTGGAAGCTCGCCAACAATGGCGATTTTGAAAGGAGAACGGGGGTTCTAGTTGTGTTTCAGGCGGCTGGTTGGTGTGGGTGGTGAGCGAGAAGAAGAAGAGCCAGAAAATGAGGGGTTTCGGGGCTGTGTTTGTGGTTTTCTGGTGTTGAACTGGTGAAAGAGAAGAGTGAGGTTTAGGTGGTTGTTCTGAGCTGCGGAAGAGTGTGTTTTTCCGGTGGGGTTTTGGAGGCAGTGATGAGAAAGAATGGTGGTGCTCCCTTGGCGGCTAAGAATTGGAAAAGATATATGTTTTTTTTTTCCTCTAAAAATTATACACTACCCTAATTTTATTTCACACCCTATTTTTTAACCTAACTAAATCTTATATAAGAAATAATTGTTAAATAGGCTCAATTTTTGGACTTGTAATTGTGGCCCAAAATTATCGATCAAGTAAAATATCTGTATTTGAATGAATTTTTTAGATTATCCAAACTACCAATATTAACAAATGTAACAAATAAAATGAATTAAAATAAATATAATGAACGTAACTAATGACATGTAAACATGCAATTTTAAAATTAATTGATAAAAAATCCTAAATTTTGATAAATAAG